ATAAAATATTGTATGTCTAAACCGACCAGGAAATATTGTTTGACTGAGGACTTCATTCCTTTCATTATCTTGTAACACAATTATTTGATTTCTGAAAGCGTTAAGTGGTTGTTTAACTTTCTTCATAATTTCTACAGGGGAACTTTGTTGCGAATGGTCGGAACAATTCGTTGAAGTATTTATTTGTTGTCGCGAAAGCGCATCTGCAACGACATTCTGGTGTCCAGGTTTATATACAAGTTTGGCACCGTATTCTTCAATTAGGTTTTTCCAACGCTTTAATTTCGCATTCGGATTTTTTTCGGAAATTGAAAATATTAGCGATTGGTGGTCCGTGTAAATTGTCAAGTTTGCCACACCATACAAATAATTTCTAAGTTTTTGCAAGGACCAAACGATTGCTAGTAGTTCTTTTTCATTGGTACTATAGTTTTGTTCTGTTTCACTTAGAGTGCGTGAAATGAATGCGATCGGGTGACGATTTTGTGACAGAACTGCCCCGATAGCGAAATTACTAGCATCGGTTGTTAGACTAAATGGTTTAGAGAAATCAGGCTGGAAAAGTTCAACTTGCTCTTGTAGAGCGTTTTTTATTTTTTCCAAGGCTTCTTCGGCTGCTGTATCTAATTGTATTGGTATTTTAGCACTTTGATTTTTTGATACCATTCCTAATTCTCCTCTCAAATTAATCGTTAAAGGTTTCGTGATTTTAGCAAAATCCTTTATAAACTTCCTGTAGTAACTAGCAAGTCCTAGGAAAGATCTCAATTCTTTCAAATTTTTTGGTTTTGGGTATTTCTTTATAGTTTCGATTTTTTTTGGGTCTACCGTAATTCTATTATGTTTTATAATGTGTCCAAGGTATTCAACTGAATCTTGGAAAAAATTTGACTTTTCGTCAGAAATTTTCATGTTAGCATTATGGAGTGCGTTAATTATAATCCGGATGTGTTCCATATGTTCTTCTGGTGTAGATGAATAGATTAGTACGTCATCAATATAAACATACGCGAACTTTCCGATATACTCTCTAAGGATGTCGTCAACGCATCGTTGAAATATGGAGGGTGCATTCTTTAACCCGAATGGCATTCTGATAAATTCATACTTTGCGCCGTTGACAGAGAATGCTGTCTTTCCTCGATCAGGTTCTTTAATTAAAATCTGGTGAAACCCTGATTCTAAATCTATTGTGGAAAAAATCTTGGCTTTTCCGAGGTTTTGTATTGTCATATTAATATCTGGAATTGGATATCTGTCAGTAATCGTATGAGAATTTATCTTTTGGAAGTCAACAACCATTCTCCGTTTGGGCTTGCCTTGGTCATCGGTGCCCTTTTTTGGTACAGTCCATATAGGTGAATTATATGGGCTTTTGCTTGGTTGTATTATACCGTCGTTTAGGAGTTTCTCAATTTCTTTCTTGACAAAGTCGTGATCGGACATGGGATATGGGTATTGTTTTGTCCATATAGGGTCTTCCGATTCGGTCTTGATAGCTGCTTGTATTGTGGTTGTAAAAGGTAATTTACCATTTGTATTATTATTTCTATTCATTAGCTCTTCCACCTGGTCTTTAAATTTTTCGTTATTTATTGTATAATTAATCCTTGGTTCTACTGCCAGGATCTTCTTCTTCTGATACTTCAAGCTATAGTCAAATAACCTAACTTCTGCCTTCATTTGGCGTAATCCCTGTTCTCCGAGTATCATGTCAAAGTCGTTTAGTTCCCTTATTTCATAGAACGTTAAATGATGCCCGTACATCGTTATAACTTTTTTAGAATTTACAATTGAATAACCATGTAAGGTTTTGGTTTTAAATGGTTTTAATTTAATAGATTTTCCTATATTACAATTTATATTAATGTAATTATTAGTGGAGCCTGTGTCAATTAATAAGGTAACGGGTGTGCCGGTTAGGCCGCATTTTGTTTCTAAGCAAGGCAACCCGTTTATTCGCCTAAAAAAGTACTGCCTGTTTCAAATTGTTCTTCATAATTAGGTACATCCACTGACTCTAGATCTTCTCTATTTAATTGGTTAATTCTTTGGAACTTCCTATCTGGCGGAGAAGTGGCATTATTGTAGCTAGATGCCCTATCTCTTTTATATACATGGTTTGATTTAAAAGGATTTTGACTTACGGCATTATTGTACTTGGTTGTCTGCATGAATTGTCTGGATTGGTCTATGTCCATTGGAGTAGGTGTGGGTTGTTGTTGTCGCTGTGGTGGTTGTTGTTGGTTAAAACTCCTTGCCTGGTAGTTGTGATTCTGCATCCTTACGTTTGGCTTGTAATATCTTTCCTCTTTATGTTGTGAGTAGGTGTTTCGGTTTGTGCTGTGTTGATGCTGTCTGCTGTTACTTCCTAGTCTGGGCCGTGTCTCGAATTCCGCATTCTCATTGTCATGGAGAATGGTACAGGCTATCGCATATGCCGATTCCAAATTCTCTGGGTTATGGCTGTACAATGTGCCGCTTGTATATTTGGAGTTTAAACCAAGAATAAACGTCCTCACTGCCTCTTGGTTAGCGTATGCTATCATCCCTTTGTCATTATTGGACATCTCAACTTTTGATAGGGCTAAATTGAGTGCCTTTGAAACCCCACTGTGGAATTCTGCAAGCGATTTTCTATCTTGTGTGATTCGCTTCATTTCATCAAGAAGCACATATAGTGGGCGTTGGTCTGCATATGTGTAATCCAATCTGTTAATGATTGAATAAAAATTCAATTTGGTGTTGTGGTTCGTAAGGACGTTAGCAGCGGGTCCTGTAATTTTTGTCCGCATTATTCCCAGGGCACTATAATATTTAGGGTGATTTTGGAAGATCTTTATAGCTTCCATGAATGCCCACACTTGTGATCTCCATGATCGGTATTGTACTTTGTCCCCGTCAAATTTTGGTAGGGATTTGAATAGCTCCAGGTCGATATCCTTGGCGTCAGTAATATTTAGTTTTACTTCTTCGTATAAAACTAATTCTTCCGGAGCGTTTTGTTGCTCTAGTGCGGCAATTCTCTCCGTGAATTCCGTTGTTTGTCGCTGCATCTCGTTCATCAGTGTGGTGAACTGGGCATTTAGTTGGGCCAGTTGTTGCTCCATTGTAAATTTATTTAGATTTCTGTAGTCGTCGTAGGATTTTTGCTTTTTTCCTCTCCGGAGTCTCCGTAAGGTATCCAGGTTTTTCACTTCACTTTTTTGTTTAAAATTTTCAGAGTTTTTTTTATTATTTGCACACTTGATTGTGTTTTTTTCACTTGATTACCGTTGATTTCGGTTTATGTTATCAGTATTATTCCGTTTTTTCAGGATCTATACTTGATTTTCGTTGATTCTTTTAGCACTTTTTTCAACGTGTAGTGCCGGAAGTCTTTCTTCCCGTGGATTTAGTTTTCTCTATTCCTTTTACATAGAAAAATGGCTTAAGGTTCGGTTGAGCCCCCAGTTATGAGTCCTTGTTAGGAATTAAAAGTACACAAGAGATTATTTCAGTCTCGTTTTATTTCCAGAACTGTTTTCCATTTTTACACTTACATCTATTTATACTATTTCTAACTATTGTTTGTTTGGTGATAAAAAGATGTTTACATGTTTAGCATTATGTTATCATAATGCTTTGTTACTTATCACCGAATATAATTGTTTATGTTATTAAAAAGATGTTTACAGGTTTATACTTGTCTATCGTATTCTCTTTGTTATTATGTTATCATACAAGGTTAAAGGGCATATAGTTGTTTGTATGTATTTTGGTTCGTGAATAATGATTATATGTATATGTGTATGTATCTAGTGTTTAGGTTAGCGTCGTTAACTCGCGCGAGTGACGAAAGCAGCCACGATAGTATGCTGAAATGACTCGCTTATAGTTATATACACGAGATTCGGAAGTTTTTATCCAGACGTCCAATGGACATGTTTGAGATATCGTTGGAAAGGTCTTGCTGAGTGTGTCCAGAAAATGTATTCAAGCTTCATTAGCGATTAACCGGATTCTTAAAAATTAGGCTAAAGTGTTGCGAAACAAAAAACGTTTCTTTTGCTTTCGCCGGTTTATGGGGGCATGTGGGCACACCCAACATATTTAGTGTTATTCTATAGGCCAATACCTTTCAAACGATACCTTATATATTAAGTTCCGGCCACTAGTTGGAAAGATATAGAGGTACATGTGTTTTGGTTCGTGTCTCCACTCTGTCTGTACGTACCATCATTTAATTTTTTTCAAACTTTCAGAAATTAAAGTACAAAAGATGGTTTGGTTCCAGGATGTTTTGATTCGTATGCCTTTGTGGGCGTGGCTGCTGCCTGAATTTCGAAAAAATGCAATTTTTTAAACTACCACTGAGGCCGCACTAGTCAGTCCATGTCATTCATGTGGATATCAGTAGAAGGGCCTTCAAACAAGCTATCTAACGCTATCTTTTGTGTTTATGAAATATAAATATGTCATAACGTTATCGCCTGAAAACTAAAATCTGGCTGCTGAAAATATAGATTTCGAGAATTTTTTTTTGTTTTTGTTGTTGGCCTTTGAATTTTAAATTATGAATCATTTTTAACAAGCTCGAGGCCCAGCAATTAAATAAAACGCAAAAACTTCGTTCTATTGATATTTTTAATTGTCGATATTTCGACCTCAATCTGAGGTCATCTTCGGGACTGTAAATATACATACAAACACGATAACTTATTATTAACTTTAAATTATTACAAGCATACATTAAACACAACTTACACTCTTGATCACAGTATACCAGTAGAAAAGGTTTTTGTTTTTGTAGCTGTTTCGTGGTGAAAGTCCTTTATGGGGACCAAATTTCCCCACAAGAAATTGAGCGCATGGTTGCTTTTGCGTCCCAAAAAAATGAATATTACAAAACATTAAAAAATGTCTAAGGTAACACAATTATATTCAACTAAAAATAATCACAATAAATTGCACTTATGAGTTAATGTGATAATCGTGTGTAAAAACTATTTTCAACTATTATTTTTCACAAAATAATTTTGCGGATCAGATTGCTCTGAGCGCTTGTGTGGAAAATGTTGTTTACCAAGAAAATGCAGCCCTGTTGGTTTTTATTTCTGTATCGCATCGCGGTGAGTTTATATTTCTTGTTTGTGAAATGGCAAAAAATTAAATAAATTTATGATTTCATGTATTTACAATTGATTAATGCAAATTTCTTTCTGTTCCGAACATATATCAATTGAATTGGAAGATGAAGAAGTGTACACAAGTTTGGAAAATGAGAACATGAAGCTAAAGGATCGATTAGCAATTTGGAGTAAGGTTAGTCATTTTCAATTTTATATTTTTGTTCGTCGACATTATAGGACATTTTATCATTGCAGGTTATTGTTGCAGAAGAAAACGCTGCAACCATTGCAGTTGTTGCAAAATATGTGCCAGCAGTAGTGCCCACCGCCGTCGGTGCAATGAGGGCTGAGCAAACGCCATCTCCTGGGCATTCCCACAGCTTGCCGACACCAGTTATTATATCACATGTGAATGCAACTTCAGCTAAATTTGGTTATTATCAGTGCAATAGTATCTTGCCTTGGGCAAAAGCACTACAGACTGCTGGCACAAATAAATCGCCCAGAGATATAGCCAACGAAATAAATAAACATGATATACAATCGCCACCTGTGGTTATGTTAATGCAAAAATTTATAAAAATTTGTTTATATCCAATGTAGGGATTATGCTGTTCATGTGATTTCCAACCTCTTACGGTCTAGCGTTAACCTACCAACTTGCCACAAGCAACGTATCACATAGATGCACATTGGTCAATTACGTTTGACAATTATTGGAGAGTCCACTTGTCGTTTGTTAGTGTTTCTGGGGCACGATATTCTACGCGTCAATCACTTAGGCGATTGGTGAACACATTTCGTTATGCTGATTGTGCACTTAGAGGACCGCTTCCCAAATTTTCTGGACGATTGGAGATTTGAAAGACTTATACAAGGAATCAAAAAAGAGGTAAGTACTGTTCGCACTTTGGCTTATTCTGAGTTTCGCCCGAAAAAACTTTCATTCAGCCTTATGCTGAGTTTAATAAAATTTAACAAGAAATCCATTATATGATACCGAAATTGCATATCACCAAAAAACTAAAATACCGTCATAACTCAAAAGACGAGAGTTTTCGGGAGACGCGTTTAATGCGCTTATAAAAAGATATTAATATCTGTTTATTTTTTCTTCAGATTTTACGCTGCTGCCTTGCAGCAACCCTAATCCTACTGAATCATGGACTCAAATATGTGATGTATCCAGTGAAGAATTCCATAAGTGTTAGCTTTTTCGTAGATTTTATGAAAACCCGGACTACTATGGATTCTGCGATAGCCACCAATATGTATTATCCTTGGGCAAGATGCTGGAGAATCGCGGCAACACAGCCGTATACCTACTCCATGCTTTTACGCGCATCCTCTAAAATTGCCTGTAAAATCGTCTAATGTAAATACCGTATTAACAACAAAAATGCACAATAAAAACGTTTAGTTATTTGAATAAATAAGAGTGTGCCAATGTAATTAATAAGTAGTGTCTAGATGTAACCCGGGTATTTAGTATAGTAAAGATATGTTTATTTAAAAATTATATGATACAGAGTTTTGTGTATGTAATTTAATTGTCCGGCTATTCACTCGACCCTCTTCGCTCGCTCTCCCAGTCCTCACTTCACACTGCTTTATTTGTATGCTGTGTGCCTTCAGTATGAAGAAATGTTAGTTCACCGAATATGTATCGCCGTTTTTTGAGAAGATGCGCTGCTGGACCGCGGTTGATTTTTGCCTGCAAATTAAACACAGAATATAAGCAGTGAATATAAGCAATGTGAATAAGTAGAATATAAGAAATTATTTAAACAATTGTAATCATTTTGGAACGCACTTTCTACACCACCTTCGAGGTATGCGTTTATGCGCGTTACCGATTTTTTAAAGGTGTTCGGTTCCCCAGGAGGCATATCTTCACCATCATAACTTAAAGTAAAAAAGTTTAAGGCATGCAATAAAAGAATACAACAAAACCAAAAAATGTTCTTAAAACTATTAAACATAAAAAATTGCACGAGTAAAATTCATAATTTAAATAAAATAAAATATCGCAATTGTTTTTATATGTACATATTTACAAAATGCACCCACAGTAAGTCCTAAACCTACAAATGACTAATAAGAAAAATAATGAATAACAAAAATCCAGAGAAATGTGAACAAGTATGTCGAGAAAATCTGTAAAGAGTAACGAAATTTATCTCAATAATAACAAGTAATTTTAAGTGTTAAAAAATGAGTGCGCATTCTACTAAAAATCTTCCAATTGAAGAAGATGAAATTCCGGAGTCGGGGAATTCATACAAACTACTTGTGAGAAATACACAGAAATTGAGTATGCTTAAAATCAGGTGTACATGCCTCTTTATTGAAAATTTTTAAAGAAAAATATGTTTTGATTCTAATGAAAAGATGTTTCAAAATATCGGGATTACAGTTACTGCAGCAATAATATGGTTCTATAGCACTCATTTTTTCAAATAAAGCTTTTGAAAACCCAATTAAATGGCAACAAGAATCGAAGTTTTCGTTTAACGATTCATCAAGTTTTGCAAGAAACTCGATGAATCCAGAAGGAGCTTTTACACGATTTAAATTGTCATATTCCTTTTCTTTAGTAAAAGCAAATGCTTCTTCCGGAATTTCTCCTTCCTCAAATTGGGGTAATGGTTCCAAACAAGTATGTAACTTATAATATTCAAAATAAATACATCCGCAAAAATATGCAAAAGAGTTCCTTTGCAGAAAGCAGCTTTCAACGACATCAATATCTATACCGTTTCCTATATCGTGATATCTGTTAGGTCTGGGTAAACTTTGAAAGGTTTTCCAGGAATAGTCTTGAACCAGAGGATCATTACACACCCTTTCAAGGGTGCGAAACGCAGAGGTTCGCAATAACCGCTTGTAACAAAATTAACGTGTCTTAGGCCCCAGGATTGCCTGAAAAGATCTGAGAACATGCACGGAGTTGTTCTTGGATTTAATCCACCGCCCCTTCTAATTTGACCAAAATAATGTTCTATTTCGTCCTGGCAGAGTCTTCTGGTTCTTATATACTCGAATTCATGGTTTGACAGTATAAGCCACAAACGTCGCAAACTTTGGATGTTAAGAAGCCAGCCTTTAATAAAGGAAAACTTGTTCGTGATATCTCGACCAAAGAGTTTATCATGAACAGCGGCAGAAGAGTTGGTCGAAGAAAAGTACAAATTCGGCAGTATTTAAAAAGCTTGGAGATTGAGACGTGTTTAGATTCCCGGTACTATACAGAGAAAGCATTGCACTAGCGACCGCATTGCTTAGTACTTGAGCAGCTAAACGAACACTCATTTTTTCAAAGGATGTTGGCTTAAGATGTGCCGTAGTCAACTTAGGCGCACATCGTATACCTCGATGGGTATCCTGCTGATAGAAATGGACAATATCTGCCCATTGAACAGGGTTACCACGAAAATTAACATTATTTTTATTATTTTCGATACAGTTCCGCGTACTCCTTAGGAGATGGGGGGAATCAAAGAAAAATATAACTTTCTCACCGTTAACTTCGAAGTATGGCCTATCTTCTGCAACCCCTACAAGACGAGCGAAGTTAACAAAATTTGATCCTTGATCACAGACGAATTGGCAGGTATGAAGACCAATCCCCTGGAGTTGAACTATAACCTCAAACACATATTTCCTTATCACATCCGTGCACGAAAAAATAGGCAACGGGCTGTGACCAAGGGGCTCCGCCTATGCCTTGAGCCATAATACATAAAACACTATTCGCTACACTCGACGTGCGATTCTCATCGCCATAATCTTCTAATCCTATTATAAAATCTCTACTCTTGTCATATTTCAAGTGCGTCTTTAAAGACATTTCATCACAGCATATCGAAATGTACTTTTGTTCACGAGTGAAACCTCGGCTTCGCAACTCCAGAGATCGAATACTGCTAGTGGAACAGCCAGGGAGCCTAGGCCAACCTTTAACGAACGTGGAAAGTGTTGTTGGGGAAGGCCAGTGAAGAAGGGGTCTTAAGTACCTATACGCTAAAGGTGACGTAAACCTAACTCCTAAAACTATTGTTTTTAAACTTCTATCGAAGCGTCGACCAGAAGGTGGCCGGCCATCATTCTTCATGCAATTTCTAACACATACCGCGAGATGTGGGGGAATTTTGCTGCATAAAACTTCAATTTGCCTGTTATCCTGCCGCTGAACAGGCAAACTTTGGGTCATCAAATTTGAAATTTGTACTTCCTTTTCAACTAGCCTTTGTTTTAAGACTTCTATCTCTTCCTTATATTTGCGCTTCCTAGGAGACTCTTTGCTAAGATGTGCCTCTGTCTGTGTCCCTTGGCTAACTACCCCAAACGTTGAATTTCCTAAAGAAGAACAAGTTGGATGTTCACGAAAAGTGTGTTGAAGAGCCTCCTCTTCTCCCATTCGGGTTAAAAAAACTACTGGGGTGACTTGTTCACTTATATCTGATTGGGACAAGCTTTCTAACACTAATCCTACTGTGGGTGCGTGCAAATTCATATCGGGCATAGCCCCTTTTGATAGTTTTCTGACATTCCGATATTTCGGAGAAAAATGCTTCTGGTACGCATACAGCTCCTTGGCCTCTGTGTTAACGTCCACTCCAAGGAGCCTCATCCATTCCAAGCGCCTATTAAATAATTAAAAGCAGTTATTCTCTTGATCTTAATTATATATGTCTATAAAAATTAGTGAAATGAAAATAATAAAAATTATAAAAAATGCAAATAAATAAAATAAAATAAATAAAAAATATGAAATGAAATAAAAATATTGATATGCCAAATGCCAAACTCTAATGTCGAATTTCCACAAGGCATTGAAATGAAAAAAAAGTTGAAGCATTTAAAAATGCCACGTGGAAATTAATTTAATTACTACTATTTCAACTTTGTCACTACAATTTTCGGCAATTAATGGCTAGTGGAAATTCAGCAAAAAGCTAAGAAATAAATTTGGATTTAAAAAAAACGATTATTTAAATAAAAACAAATGATACTTTAAATAAAAAAAATTATGATTTAAATAACCAAACTATGATTTAAATAAAAATGTGATGAGCGAAACAATATACCGATACCATTTGATGAAAACTAAAAAAATTCTTTACCAACCTTTTCTTTTATAAATCGTTGTTGCCAACGTTCTGATACTCGTTAAAGTATTTTAATGTTTTTAACACTTTATTGAATACATTCTTAACCTTGGTAACATTAGTTTAGTTAACTATTATTAGTACATAATTATGTTTATTTTCTTACTAATTGTAGTTTGTTATGTAATTTTATGTTTAACGTCTAATGGCATTATTCATAAAAAATTAAGTTTCTTTAAAATAGGTTTATAAATTGAAAAATATATGAAAACGTCAATTTGCAAAACTCTTTAAACCTACTTTATTTTTTATGAATAAGGCCATAAGCCTAATTACTAGAAGGTAGCTGAAAACCTAAGTACATGCATACATGCATGTATATGAAAATACCGATTTTATAATTAAACACTGTAACTTAAAAAAAACTTAAATCTACGACTTATTACTAGTAAGCAGCTGAAAACCGAAGTACATAATAATATATTTTGCTGCTTTTACACTAAATTTAACTCCACGCATACTAATTAAAATTAATTAGATACAAAGAGGAATTAACAGCACGTACCATCTTAGCTATCTTATTAAAAGGTTAAAGCTATTAAAAATACAATAAAGGCGCGATGTTAAAATTATTAATTAAATATAAGTCCACGAAACCGGTTTGATGTGAAAATTTTCGATCATTTACTTCCCGTATCATTCTTGCTCAATAAGCCTGCCGATGATTAAAATTTTCACAAATAAAAAAACATTGAAACGCAATGTGTGCTACATTATAGCAGATTTGCTATACCATATACACACTACAATGAAATTATGGTCAAACTTTATTAACTGGATAAGCGATAAAACTGCAAGACTAGTCCGTCTGGCTGGATTTTAACATAACAAATGTACCAGTAAATGCCAGAGTACCCTATATCTCTTTAAAGTACAAAGCTAAATCCAGACGATGGCTATCGCTTATCCAGCATTCAGTTTAACTAATTTCAATAAACAAATAAAATGAAATAAACATCATACCTTGATACATCCGAGGCCAAAGGAAACTTGTAGAGGGAGCTTACTTCTGCACATCTGCATACACATCTTTTCGGCATTTTTTTCTACAAATACGTACATATGTATGTAAATACACAATAATTAAAAAAGTGAACGCAATAATAAATTTACATATTGTACTTACTTGTTGGTTGTTTGGCCAGAAACTTCCAAATCTCCACGAGGCCGATATTTGTAAAACCTCTGCTAGCACACGACTCACGTATATTGCAAATACAAAATGTCTAAATCTTATTTAAAAAGAAAGTCAATATATAATAGGATTTACATATATATTATTTCACAAAACTCAACATTTTACGAAAACTACGAAAATTTTCCGGAAAAAACACTATGCGCGCACAAATTTGCCTAATTATTTGATATTCAGCTACATCCCAGAGTTGCATTTGCTGCTTCTGTAAATATTTTAGGAAGTGTTCCAAAATTCGCTCCGAGCGCGTTCACTGTTGATCTATTGATTTAAATAGTTGTTTGTCAAGCATTTATTACTTTAGTTTGATCGGAGTTAAAATATTCTTCAGTAATAAATCATATTATATCAAAACATAAGCTTATAATAGGTGAGAAATTATTTACTCTTAATATGCATAATGTTTTGCACCATGTACCAAAACTCGCCCTAAGCGCATTCACTATTGAAGTTTTGATTTGAATATTGTTTGTCAAGCATTCAGTAGTGAAGTTTGATCAGAATTTATATATTCTTCAGTAATTAATCATCCTACATTAAAATATAAACGTATAATAGGGAGAAAGTTAGAAATTACTTAGTCTTAGGGCCGGCTACTCAAAGTCTGGTTAACACTAACCTCTGGTTAAACATCGTTATCGACGTTACCGACTCTCTGTTATATGAATGGAGTCGAATACGTCGATAACAATGTTTAACCGGAGATAAGCGTTAACCAGACATTGAGTAACCGACCCTTAATAAGCATAATATTTTTTTCGTGTTCCAAAACTCGCCCCGAGTGTGTCCATTTGATTTAATTAACTGTTTGACAAGCATTCAGTACTATAGTTTGATCGGAGTATATATATTTTTCAGTAATTGATTACTTTGTATTAAAATATAAACCAATAGTAGGGTAGAAATTGTGAAATTATTTAGTTTTACAGTGCATAGTCTGCCAGAGACAATTGAAGAAAACTGCAACTACTCGTGAAAATATACATTAAAAGCAATGTAGATGAAAGTAATAACTATTGTTATTAAAATTACCGATATATAAAACATTTTACACCAGGTATTTGAAAAAAATCGGAATATATTTTTGCATATAACATAGTTTCCATTGAACGCATAAAGTACATATTTAATTACAAATATTTTTAAGATCACTTCGAATTGTAGAAATAGCGCTAGTTACTTGTATTGAAGTATAAAATATTTTATTACGTTCATTTTTACTTATAAAGCACATAACAATATTGCTCTCGCCATTTAACCGATGTTAAAATTTTTCACATTATTTTGCTGCACAGCACCCTGAATACGGCAAAACGGTTGCTCGCAACCCTCAAGTCCTTTATGGGGACCAAATTAACAGCCACAACAACAATAACCTTTTCTACTGGTATACTGTGCTCTTGATTGTGCCTGGTGGTTTGATTAGGCGTACAGAAATAAAAGTTAAACAAGTGAAATTTTAGGCAAATGAATAAACAATAAAACATGAAAAACATAAGAAGTAAACAATTAAAAATACCGTAATTGTAAACAAAAAACATACAAACAACAATACACGGAACATTTAGCAGTAAGACAATATGTGTATGTACAAGCATATGTACATGTAATGGCACAGCATTTTATTGTTATTTTATGAAGGTATTTTGGGGAAACGGAACGAATGTTGATTATGGAAGGCTGAACGGAACACCTACGTTGCGGATTGTTGTTGCCGGTTTAACACCAAATTGCGATACACATGTGCACAATTGTCTGTGTCCGTTTTAAAGTTGATCCTTCTCTCATTAGAGGTGTTCGTAATGTGTAACATTTCCAAAATATAGCGTTTATTATAGTTCTTTTCTTCTTGTAGAATGGCAACATTATCGAAATCGGGATAGTGTCCCGTATCCGTACAGTGTGCTGACAAGGCCGTCTTATTGTCAGTTGAGGTGTTCCTTAACTTTATATTTGATTTGTGTGCGGAAATCCGTGTCTTGAGCTTAGTTTTAGTTGTCCCCACTTATACTTTGTGGCGTAAGTGGGACCCGTCGCCATTGCATGAGATTTTGTATATTACGTCAGATTTCTCGCATCTAGGAATCTTATCCTTAGTGTTGCTATCTATTTTTCCTAATGTGTTGCTGCATGTAAATGCTAGTTGGACCTTCTCTTTATCATATATATTAGAATGTTTAATCCTCTCAGATATCCCCGGAACATATGTAGCGGTTTTGTATACTTTATTCTCATTATAAGTGTTTTCTTATCGGTCCTGACGTAATAATTCTGAATGAGTTTCCTAATTAAGCAAGAGGGGAATTCGTTCTGTTCCAAAATATGTTGGATTATATTTTTGTTCTTTTTATGAAAATGTTTGTCGCTAATAGTGAGAACTCTTCTAATAAAATTGGTTGCGGTATTTAAGATAGTCTTCCTCTCATGTTTCGAATTATAATTAATTAATCTCCCCGACGACGTAGGTTTTGCATACCAGTCAATTTTTAATCGGTTGTTCTTCCTGATTACTAGGGTGTCCAGATATGGTAGGTTTCCATCTTTTTCTATTTCTATAGCGTAAATTTAATCGTCTTTTGGTAGCTGTTTAATAAAGTAAGCATTTTGTCTATATCTTCTGTTTTAATTATGGCAAACAAATCATCCACATACTTGGTTAGGAGACGCGGTTTATTAGAACAATCACTTTCAAATTTGGTCAGTAAATGTTCCATTACTAAATAAGCTATCACTGGTGAAGCTGGGGAGCCCATAGGCATTCCAGACAGTTGCTCAAATATTTTGCCATTATATTTAAAATATCGATTATCTTTTATAAAAAATTTTACCATACTTAAGAATAAATCCTTAGACAAATTTGTATGCTCTTTAATATCATTCCACTTCGAGGCAATAATATTTATAGCCAAATCCACCGGGATACTTGGGAACAACGAAACAACATCGAACGGCACCAAACTTTCGTCATCATATATATAAGTATCTTTAATCCTGTTCTTGAGATCAATCGCGTCTTTAACATTGTAATTGGAAGATTTTGTAATGTTTCTAAGGATATTGACAACGTATTTGCACAAATTGTAGGACGGGGACTTGATGGACAAACAAATGGGTCTGAGGGGTATCCCTTCTTTATGTATTTTTGGTAAACCATAGATTCTTGGTGGATTGATTGGCTGTTTTACTAATAAGCTTGTTCTTTTCTTTTAAATCAATAGCCTTGTTATTATATAATCTCTCCACTATTTCATTATTTTTGTCTTGTAAATTACTGGTTGGGTCACGTTTCAAAATTCTATAAGTGCAGATGTTGTTGACGATTGACTGCATCTTTGTATCGTACTCAGCCTTGTTAATAACTACGGTTACGTTCCCTTTATCGGCATTAAGAACTAAAAGGTGTTTATTGTTCTTTAAAAATGTTTTTGTGGAATGTACAGTATCGCGAATAAACTTATCTCTCGTTGATTCTGTTCTCTTATTGAGATGGTCACGTATTAGTGTCGTTAAGTTGTTTCTTTC